AATACTGACTAATCTTCTTTGGCGGCTTAAATTATGTTTTAATGACTGGGAAGACTTCAACACTGTAAGCTCGTTCTGCGTAGTTCGGGACTAAAAATTAATATTCAAATCTGAAGGTAGTCGGACTAACTATGACATCGGGACGTCAAACATGTCACAGTTCCCCCTGTGATCATGGATGCTGTAAAGCATCCGAAACGTTTGGAATTAAAATGAGTAAATTAAACGCGATAAAATCCGTAAAAATAGTTTTAATATATGTGCAGTATCTGTCTGCGTAAATATAAGAAATTACTATAGAATTTATTTCCAAATTTATATGTAGTTCCATGTAAATTCTCCTAAAATATAACCTATTTATTAAAAAATAATTATTAAAAACATCAAAACAAATAGACAAAGAACGTACAGCCTAATAGAGAACCTTTTGTTTTTTTTATAGTCAGCTAAAATCTAGTAATTTTTGAGCCCGTGGCTTAACATTCATCGCTGTATAATATAATATATAAAATTCTATTTTTGTAGTAATTATCATAACAATGACTAGCGTTAATAATCAAACATGTCATCACTGCATATAATTGCACATTGCATTCGTCATATAACTGCTTTAATAATAAATACAGTTATAGCAAAGCGCGGCTATATTTCTTTATTGAATACAATGTCGCAGGGCGCAGCTAAAAATAAAGATTTAATCATAGATCGGAAGTATCCGAGTTGAGCTCCTCCACCTCAGTGTAAACAATGGTTTGCTACTATAGAAATCGATACGGGCGCACTTTAATCATTCTGCAAACAATCATCGAGCGATTCCGGATTCTGTGTAATTACGATGCTTTAGTGATTTCTACTTCGTAGTTATTATTAAATATCTAGTACGTATCTAATAATAACTACTATTTAGCAATATATGCCAGTAAACATCATAGTATACCAGTGTAACTTATTTTTGTTTCTTTATAAAATAATTAATTAAAAATTGAAGCGTCAGTAGCCTAATGGCAGAGCGCGGACTGCGAACTCGAAATGTCGTGGGTTCGAATCCGCCATTCGACTACTGTCGTGAACCACTTCTAACACAAGCATTTTAAGCTTACCAGAAGTGGTTAAAGGGAATATTAGTAATGTTTAATAGCATTACTAGTATTTAAAAAAAATTGAACCTACTGTAGCCGTTTGATTTATTTTTTTATTTATACTCACATTAGTCTAATTATTCTATGTTTCTACTTATCATTTTTATATAAGGACTAGTTATACCCGCGATTACATCCGCGTTGCTTGATATATTAACAAAGTTTTCGTATGGGCGCAGGAAAAAACATCAAAAAGACAAAATATCTTAGTAAACAATGTCATTCATTGCTCCGTTTGTAGGCTAAAATACATATAAATTATCTGTGTAGTAATAATGCGTGAGCATGCAACGTATAGTTGACCGCGTGAAAAATTCCGTATAGAAATTGTTGTTTTGTTGTTTGTTTAAAAAAAAAAGAAAACCAAATTGAAATCCACCTAGTAGTTTTTTCGTGATACACTCACAACTCTTTAACAGTGGTAGAGCCACGCGGCAGCTTTTGCTGTCGCACGGATGGGCCGGCTCGAACCGGGGTGGTACCACGACCTCACAGAAAACCAGCGTGAAGTAGAGATTTACCTCTGCGTTTCGCTTGGTGAGTACAGGTGGCCGGAGGCCCTTTTTACTGGAAATGAGGCATTCCATCTTAGTCCTCACGGGTGACAACGCATCTACATTTTGATTTGTAACAGAGGATAGATGTAGATGTCTATGGGCCGCAGCAGCCACTTACCATCAGATGGACTGTGTACTCGTTTGTCACCCTTATTCCATAAAAAAAAAATTAAAAAAAAAAATAAATTTTCTGCGCATATATCTACTCTCATGTCCACTTCTGTCACACTAACTTTATGTACGTCTCCTCCCCTGGCCACAAGGCCATATCGCCACGGCATATACATTAACTTTGTTGACGACGTCAAAATGATAGACATTTTAGTACATATTATATGATCTGTTCTTACACCGAAGCTAAATAGTTTACGACGCAGTGTACTTTCATTTTGATGTCAATAATTAACCGTTTTACCAACGATTTACCACGTGCTCGGCGGTGTAGGACAGTTTGAGATACATCATCATCATCTTTACAGCCCCTCACAAATCCTCAGCTGAATGCCACCCCCAAGGAATATTTCGAAGATATAGGTCCGCCAGCATGCTTTGGGCCAACTGAGTCACTACTTCGCAGGACGGTTATAAGCCATTTACATACTTTACTTTCTTATTTTTATTTGTCATCATAGTAATTTAAAGGTGACTTTACGAAAACTCCTTCAACTATTACTATATTATATAATGATACTAGCTCGCCAGACAGACGTTGTTCTGCCCTTTCCAACGACCCTTCCTATAAAAATCCTTAAATTCGCAATAAAAAATTTTGAGGGTCACTTATGGGGATAAAAACTATCCTATCTCTCAAGTTGGACCAAAATGCATACAGTGTGCAAAATTTCACTGAAAGCAGTTCAGTAGTTTACGAGTCCTTCGCGTACAAACAACGTGACACGTAATCTATACAAATAAATAAAATTGAAGTGTCTGTTTGTAATGTCATAATAACAGGTTTTTACTATATGAATATGAATGTATATAAGGTACTTATGACAAAAACATAATTTTTAAATTTTTTGTCTGTCGGTCTGTCTGTCTGTCTTTTTGTTCCGGCTAATCTCTGAAACCGCTGGACCGATTTCGACGGGACTTTCACTGGCAGATAGCTGATGTTCTAAGGAGTAACTTAGGCTACTTATATTTGAGAAAAATAATTAGGGTTCTGAGCAATATAATTAAAACCCTAAATTAACGCGGGCAAAGTCGCGGGGAACATCTAGTTTTTATATATAAAGATCTAACACACTGTCATGTGTATTACTTAATAAAAGCTGATGTAATATTGGGTTTCTTTGATCATAAAATATTACGCTTTGCTCAAAAATTTCAGAACAAACCGAACTAAAAAATTGCCATGTGGGTATTAGGACTTTGACACACGTAAGGATTCCGCTGTGTGGATTATCCCTTATATTTTCTAGAAATTAAAAACAGATTGATTGTATTCGTTATAGTTTTTATGGAGAGTAAAGCAATAAGTAGAACTACTTTCAACCGACTTCAAAAAAGGAGGAGGTTCTCAATTCTACTATTTTTTGTGAAGAAATTTTTTCTAGGTGAACCGATTTTGAGGATTCTTTTTTTATTTGTAAGCTGGTGCTTCTCATGTGGTCCCGTATAAATTTGATCAAGTTCTGACCAGTACTTTTTGAGTTATCTTTAATAATACAATACGTATTTAATTGACTTCGACTACATTGATGATGTTCTCATTTTATTTATATTGAAGTCGGTTGTACAAAATTTTTACTTTTATCACTTGTTCAAATTGTTTAGTTGTACCTGTATTTAATAGGTTATGATGTATAATGAGCATCGTCAATGACACACGTAGCCGGTCCTACCACTGCGCTTGAAGTTGTTGACGTGCATATTGATTTAGGACAAATTGTCAGACTAGTTAAGTTCAAATTAGACCAAGATTCTTTATACTGTGGTAGTACCACGCTGCAGCTATATTATGGTTGTAGCACGAATGGGTCGGGGAGGGGAGGGACCTTGCTCTCACTGATTACCAGCGTAAAATAGCAGCTTAACGCTTCTGTTTCGTATGGTGAGTGTAGAGAACTAGGGACCCTTTTTACTGCAAAATATTCCTTTGAATGAGTTTTTCTCGAAATAGCCATACATTGGAATTATACGAACATAGACGGTTGTATTGATGATTATAATGATTATAATTCTGTAAATACATACTCGTTACGCTCGCGAATCATATTTTGTTAAACATACAACCTGACACTGACCTGCAAATTGCAAAAAAACGTAAGAAAATTTGAATTTCGCGGGCCACCCTGGAGCTTCCACCTTAAATTTGTTTAACTTTTTGTAACACATGTAATACTCTAATGTGACCAGATATTCATTGCTGTTTCTTATGTTGGCAATCCAAATAAATTAAAAACGGTGCTCTCCATATCCGGGTTTGGAAACAAACCAGGAGATAGGTAGCAGCGTTTTTTTGTTGCCTCTTATATTCTCCACTGGACGCTATATTGTAGTGGAAATATTTATACACCGCCAACACGGTTCACGAAAGATCGTGTAATTGTAACAGCTAATTTTCTATGTGATAAATTAGGCTATTTTTCAAAGAGTAGCCAAATTTTAAACTTTCGTTCAAATGCATAAATAATGATTTGCGGTTTTTGAAAAGACGAGTAAGTAAGGATCCTTACTTTTATTTGAAATTATCCCAAATTGAATGTGATTTATGGGCAATCACGTTTTTGCCTACCGATCGACCCTTACCAATGTGTGCGAGTGCAGTAAAATCAATTAAAATAATGCATTACCACGCATTTTGAATTTAAAAGATTAATTTTTCTTTACAATTCGCCTATATTACTTATTCTGAACCTTCTCTGCAAATTTGGCCGGTTATTGCAAAATAACCCTACTTTAAACGAAAAACTGTAAAAGTTAAAGAACAGATTGCTAGAGACGCCGCTGTTACCCCATTTTCAATTTTACCTCATTCCATAAAAAAATCAAATGTGTGCGAATCCCTATAAAAACTTCACAAGTTAACATTGGCTCGGTTGGAGAACGTTTCTAAACATAAGCATTTCTTTTCCAAAGTTTTCTAAGGTTTCGCTTTACGATATTACTTTCGTTTGAATTTATTGTATTAATCTATTAATTTATTAATGGGGAAAGAACTCCTCTGATAGTTTTCTGTGTAAATAAACTAGGTATTCGTATTTTGTTCGTCACTGACAGAGTGTTTTTTCATCGTAAATCGAATACATTTCGAAATTATCAAATATTTAATATTGAATTGTTGTTGTATCTCCGGCAGCCTTGATCGAGCGCAATGCTGGTAACGAAGAGCGAGAGGACACGACGTGCCACTTCTCTACAGTGTTGAAGCAGCTCGTGGAGGAGAATATACCCGGGTTGCCACCAGGCGGCGGTCTCGCAGCCAAGTGAGTATAATGTGTAAATAACACCGATCGACCAAATAATGTCGGACAAGTACGTACAAATAATGTCCTCCACACGGAATTGACGACTTCCAGCCTCCCGAACAAGCCGGTTTCCGAAAGGGCTTTAGCACCATAGACCACATACATACCCTTCGGCAAATTGTACAGAAGTCCGAAGAGTACAATTTGCCACTATGTCTGGCGTATATGGACTATGAGAAAGCCTTTGATTCCGTCGAAATTTGGGCGGTGCTGCAGTCCCTTCAGCGGTGCCAAGTTGACTGTCGGTATATCGAAGTGTTGAAGTGCTTGTACAGTAGGGCTACGATGGCTATCCGAGTACAGAACCAGAGTACGAAACCTATCCAATTGCAGAGAGGTGTAAGACAGGGTGACGTCATATCCCCGAAACTCTTCACCGCTGCATTGGAAGACGTTTTCAAGCTTCTGGACTGGAAAGGATACGGTATCAACATCAATGGCGAGTACATCACTCACCTTCGATTTGCCGACGATATAGTCCTTATAGCAGAATCGCTGGAGGACCTAAGCACTATGCTCAATGACCTCAATAGTGTTTCCCAACGGATAGGTCTTAAGATGAACATGGACAAAACTAAGATCATGTTTAATGTCCATGTCACACCTATGCCGGTAGTTGTTGGGAGCACTAAGCTCGAAGTTGTTGACGAGTATGTTTACCTGGGACAAATAGTCCGACTAGGTAAGTCCAACTTCGACCGAGAGGTCAATCGATTGATTCAACTCGGTTGGGCAGCGTTCGGGAAATTACGGCACATCTTCTCGTCAGGTATACCTCAAACCTTGAAAACGAGACTGTACACCCAGTGCGTGTTGCCAGTAATGACATACGGAACTGAGACGTGGTCCTTCACTGCTGGCCGGATGAGGAAGCTCAAGGTCGCTCAGCGAGCTTTGGAGAGGGCTATGCTCGGAGTTTCTCTGCGTGATAAACTTAGGAATGAGGATATCCGCAGTAGAACCAGAGTAACCGACATAGCCCAACGGATTAGTAAGCTGAAGTGACAATGGGCCGGCCATATATGTAATGCTGTAATGATGATGATGATGATGATGACACGGAATTTGGGTTACGCGGCCAGTCGGAATCAAGACTAGCCATCTGCGTAGAACAGGACTTTATAGGCTGTAATGGATGTATAGATAATACCACAAGAGCTGCAGCTACAGTAGTAAGTTCACTTTCACTTGGCATTTTGGTATGACAAAATAGCTTCGAATATCGGACCCACAAAGACTGACACGCACAGCTAAAAGAGCATGGCTGTGGTGCGTGGTCTGCAACATCACGTACCGTGGGATACCATTCTTATTGTTAAAGTACTTTTAAACGTTGTAGCACGAATGGGTCGGCCTGCCCGGGGTAGGACCACGCCCTCACAGAATACCAAAGTGAAATAGCAGCTTAACGCTGCTGTGTTTCGTATGGTGAGTGTAGAGAACCGAAATCTTTGTCCTCAGAGGTGACAACGCATCTGCATTTTGATTCCTAATTGAGAGTAATTGTAGATATGTATGGGTCACAACATCCCGTACCATCAGGTGGACTGTGTGCTCGTACATATGTCACCCTTATCCTATAAAAATTGAGGCATTCCATCTTAATCCTCACGGGAGAAAACGCATCTGCATTTTGATTTTTAACAGAGGATAGATGTAGATGTATATGGGCCGCAGCAACCACTTGCCCTCAGGTGAAGTGTGTGCTTGTATGTTACCCTCATCCTATAAAAAAATGGTGTACTCCACGGCCACTGTAGCGCAGGCACCTAGTGGTGCGCGTTGAATCTGCCGCGAGTCTGCGCTAAAGTCAATCGGCTTTTGTTAAGCTAAGCCAGTGCGCTTTGCCATAATACGTATCGTCAAGTGGAATTGTAGTTTTTTAGTAGCTTTGGCTTATAATAGTAAAAAAAAAGAGTCGGTAACTTGAAAGATGCGATGGGAACTTGCGAAGTAGTCCAAATTCATCCGTGTTAATATGGACGAGCTAGTCACAACGTGTTTATTTATCTGACAGCCATGATGCACGCATATAAGTTTTTATGTTACGGTACTATAAAAAATTGATTGCAAATAATAATAATACCATTTTTTATTTTTAAATTTAGATCCAAATTAGCCAATGTTATTGACCAACACAAAATTATTCATACAGCCTCTGAAATATACACTGCTAATCATAGGCCTCCCCTAAAAATTGCTTCATAGGGGAGATATTTGCCATAGTTGCCACACTGCAGGCGCCTGGCCAACCGCAGTTATTTGAGTCGTTATCAGGAATATGCTGCTGCCCATCTGATTCATTAAATATAATAATAAACATCAAATATATCATCATATCATAACCTATTACTTGTCTCTGTTCTTTTGCACTTGATATTTTGGAATCACAAAATGGCATCGAATCTCGGACCCGCACCGTTGGATGAACCTCATCGCGATGCATGGTTGTCCTTAGTAGTCAGCCGACCATGATTTCATCTGAAATATTAGATACCGTCGGAAGCCACACTTATTGTTACAGCTATTATTGTGATCGCTACGCGCCTAATTGTGTTTCGTTTTCCTTTCCCAGGCAAGCGCTCCTTGACAAGATATACAGGGAGTACTATCCGGAGCACGCGGACAGCACTGAGACGTTTGACTGCCAGGCCGAGCTGGCGGACGCGTTCGGTGCCAACTGAACCCCCACCACACCCGTACGCGACCACTAGTTCGATTCCCCGCAGTGCTCATCAGTGTTTCAAAGTGTACTTGCAAAGATGGAATAGGTTCCAAAAATATCAATAATAATTCTAGAACTTGAAGTCGAAACCTAAAGAGAACCTTTAAATACCTTAATTTCAAGACATCATACGTTCATTCTCTTGATAAACTGGAAGAAGAAAGAAATTCTTACCACCCAAACTGGGACTCTAAAATTGGATCTTTTATACAAAGAAGTCTAAATGAAGAACTATGAGATTATTAGGTACTGGTTTTCAATTTAAACCTTAGAGTTCCAATGATAAAGTGAAGCTCTGCAAGTTTTGAATAGTGCAACCAAAATTATAAATACAGTTAAATGAGACCACTTATTTAACTAATTTAATTATATAATTATTGTATTAGTTGTTTTAATTGTAATAAAATTTGGTGTTTTAAATACAAATAAACAAATAGTACTATCCTTCTGGGGCACTCGGATAATTATATATTAATGAAACCAAACTTTAATATGTTTGTAAATGTTTTCATATTACACAAACTATTCTAAACATTAAATAGTGCAGTACGAAAAGGTTCAATATCTTAATATTGTTTCTATAGTAATAATAAATACATAAACTTTGAATGAAGGCTCTCTAGACATCAGAATTATTAAAGCTGTGTTGATATACATTTTTCCAAAGCTTAGAACCTGTTCGTTATTTTTGTAATGTTTTTAAATATTTGAAACTCGTGGGAGCGTACGGTTACGTTTATTTTAGCAGAATACAAATAAAGAAGCAAATTGAATCCTATATATAAACTCTATACGAATATTGGCAACACTTGATTCAATTGTACATAAGAACAGAATAATGAAAGCGGGGATTCTGTTTGTTTCTTAATTTCTAAAGGATATGTTTACGTCATTATGACAGGGTGAAAGACAATCTTCAACAGTGGCAGAAAAATAATTTGTAAATGTAGATCAAACATAAACAATAAATTAATTTAATTTATCATCTTATCAAAAATATATTTTATCAGCCCTGTCATGATGATAAAAATGTCTTTTTGTAAAGATGTATCGCATCGTCTATGTTCATTGTCGTTAGTTTTAATCGCAAGCTTTGTACAAAAATAATGTCGCTTCACATGTGACGATAGCCTGCCTGTAGAAAAAAAATAAGTGTCTATGGTAGGTGTTATGGCTGCAATACGAACATAGCCGAAGGAAACACGTTACAAACATCGGACTAGCGTGCGTGTAAAGTTTAGTAATACTCGAGCTGCTGCTTTATAATTTTATCCTAAGATGTTTTGTGTACGTCCATTTTTTTTTCACGACGGCCTTTCCAGAGCAGCGTAAGAACCCCGAGATAAAATTACATTGGTCATTGCATGGCAGACATTTCGATTTGCCCCTTTTTTCATTTGATTTATTTTAGACACGAGTTAATTATTTTATTTTATTATAATTGTGCGCACGCGTTTTTAAATTTGGTCGCATTACATTTCATTGAGTAGCTTATTTCTCTTAATGTTTTTCTGTTATAATATTGACCTTGTTCATAAATGTCATAATATTAGATGTGTAAAATAGCGATTCAAGTAAAATATATATTAAAAAACAAAATAGTCTTAACATAATTATTGAAAACCTCTTGTGTTGTCTGTATCGTTTCCCGCCGATTGCATTATCTGTGGTCAACACATTTGGATTATAAAACTATACCAAATATTAATCGTTATTGGTTTGTTTACATATTTTACAATATCCACAGATAATGTAGGCATGTTTCCAACCAGGCCAGTCGCAATTTAGTTAGTGTAATAAATGTTGTCAATTCTTAATGACGCATATTTAAATTCTAAAAAATACTTCTTGTGAACTGAAGTTAAATATAGCGTGGGTAATATACTATACTTTTTTTTAAAAATAGGATGTACTTTCGTGTCTGCCAGTTTTTCCACATTATAGCACATATAATTGTCAATTACCGCCATCTTGTTTTTTTTTTGGGTAAATGTAAATTTGGAGTCATAATTCGGTTCTATATCTTTTATTTATATGATGATTGCCTAGATAAAGTTTATTAGATTGATCTCTGACTGACTCACGAAAAATAACGTAATGCACGTTGTTTCTATTCACATAATTATACTTCATTTAAACTGTATTGTATTAAACGCTATGGAAGTTATCCAACATCAAATACCAAATCAAGATAATAGCCATTATATTTTATAAACTACATATGTTATGATGTATTAATTTTCCGTCAAAACTCAATAATCGCCATATCTATCTCTAAGTTTACATTTTGTCTATACCTGCACTATGTACATAAAATTTTCTAATACATGGACAGCGTAGTCACGTGTCAAAATTTTGCAATTATTTATGTCGTAAATTGTTATTTAAGATATTTTGATTTAAAAAGCCTAATTGATATTTGGCAGATTATTGGGCCATGAAGATTTTTTGTGTTCTGTCGCTTGGAAATTTAAAATAAGCTTTTTCTAAATATGTGGTTATTTGTTGAATTTTTGCGACGTGCTTCGAAATTGCTTAGTACTTAGAAAATAACATAATATCTTTTTTGTATGGTTCTTGTTTCTTTTTTACATGTCTTTTTCTTATCTTGAGTTTAGTCGTATAGGGTTTAATAAAAAAATATATAATAATCTATTGCCGAATTGAAATAAAAGTGTAATAAATTACTAATAGTTGAGTGCGGTAACATTGCAGACTCAAATCGCCTTTAAAAATGTATTACCTTAAAGACGATATTAGAAATTGTGCAAGGATCCGTTCTTGGCTAATTTAGGGATTCTATATTCGATATTTTTTGTCTTCGTGTATATAGATCGAGATACTTTTGTACCTGTTCAAGTGAATCATAAGTGATTTACGTGGAATCTTCATTATAAATAATAATAAGTCTCGACGATTTATTTTGATAGCCGTTATTGCATATGTGACTATTGTCGATGGACTGCCGCATTGTGTTTGCTGTTTTTATTATTTTCCGATTCCGCTAAACGAAAACTAAAAATGTTTGTGCTAACAGTACCAAATAGATTATTGTACCGTTTTCTTTAAATTAAAACATGTATAGTCCATCTAGAAAGAACACGCGCTCTAGCTAATGCTACTAAACTTAGCTTCGTCGATGTTATTTAGTTTCTTTTTTATGAAGTGTTGTCATTTGTGAATTTTAGACCAAATATTTCTGGTAGTGGGATTGAAGTTTGAATTATTCTATGTCCTTTCAAAAATAGTTAGATTTTACATCTGGTTGTTTGTTTTTACTATAGATAATTTCGCTTTCAGAAGGTCTACAACATTGTCTCGTTATATCTAGTAGACGCTTGAACAATAAATAAAAACCTGTACGTACCTTTAAAATATTATTTTATTTCATTTCTTTAATTTTTATTTTGCCAGCAACACTAATAATAATTCTCTTTTTTTATTATTTTTTTCAGGACAAAATATTGAAATTAATATTGTAAATGAGGTATGCTGTTAAAAAGTTCTATATGACTTAAAAAAAAGTTTTATAAATTGCAATTGTAGGCTAATTTTAGCCTACAATTGCATTTTATCTCAATTTCTCTCAATATTCGATAATTAAGTGACTCAGTCATAAATACATTAATTTCAATGAACTACACAACATACTATAGTAATTAATATAAACTTATTTTATGATTCGAATTGAATTAAGTGCATAACATCAATCGAATTATTATTTTCGTAATCTATATATTTTAACTATATTATGTACTTATTTTTTCAAAACATTTCTTCCCAAAATATATTATAGTCTATTCAAAACAACGTTTATTCTTTATGTAAAATATCTGTGTACTATATAGCGATGTTGAATTATTGTGTAATAATTTATGTATTAACAATCATAGATATAAAAATGAAACTTATTTTAAAAATACAGAGATATCTTAATTCACAGGTTAGTCGTAGTAAATAGATTAAACGTGAAATAAATATTTATAATATCAGTGGTGTTTGAAACTGTCATCAAAATTTTAGTTTACTAAAGTTGGTCCTTCAAGCCGGATCAACTGGATCACGCGGCTACAGCGACTGAGTTTTATTTAAAAAAGAAAAGGTCCTTAGCTCCTAAGCCTATATTTAAAAAAAGCGCTCTGTTTAAAAAATAAATACACGTTTTAAATATTAATGACGTGAGAGTATAGAGTTAGTGAATATACAGACTTATTTTAAAGTACTAAACCTCAAAAACCTGTTTCGTCGAACGTGATTTGGCGACTAATTGGTAACAGCAACATTCAAACTTCTACAGATTGGTGACGAGAAGCGGCAATATTATTGTAAGGGTATCGGTTCAACAACTTACTGACGGACCGGAGAATCGAGACCGTATATCAAATCAACTGACCGTATATATCATTATATGTGTTAGAGTCACGCTGCAACTATATTATGGTTGTAGCACGAATGGGTCGGCTCGACCGGGGTAGGACCATGCTCTCGCATAATACCAGCGTAAAATAGCAGCTTTAATGCTGCTGTGTTTAGTATGGTGAATGTAGAGAACCGGAGACCCTTTTTACTGGAATAGGGGCGTTCCATCTTAGCCCTCAGGGCTGACAACGCATCTACACATTTTGATCCTCAATCGGGGATAAATGTAGATGTCTGGGCCACAGCATCCACTTACCATCAAGTGTACTTTGTGCTCGTTTGTCACCCTTATTCTATAAAAAAAAAACCTAATGGGAAATTTTTATAAAGACTTCCTTCTATGAGGGGCCTTCACGACATTTTCTGTCACCTGAGCGCACTCAAGAGGAGTGGTGAAAGATTTGACATTTCATAGCGGGGGAAGTAAATTTGTTAGAAAAGTGTAGGTAAGTGTAGTAAGTTAGGCCGGCCACATACATACGGGATTCCGTTTCGATATTCCAATTCGGAATTCCGAACGCAGCAAGTCCATATAAAATC